TTGGCTCAAGAAATTCATTTTCTTCCAGTTGGTGTTCTTGGTTCAAGATTTTTGCTCTTGAGTCAAGTTAAAATTTCTATCAGTGTACTTAATAATTAATTAAATTTCAATTACTTTTTAATATCCATACAATGAAGGATTAAACTCTCTTACTCTGACTAATTGCCATAAGAAAGGAATTAGAGCGTGTATTTTGGTTCTTAGAATGTACATAATTTGACCCTCAGGTCAAAACTGCAACTGTGGCGCCAGTCTTCCCCGTAAGAACCTCTTTGTCCATCCAAATCATTTCACAGGTAGTCTCATACCTGAAATTGTTAAAATGACCATGAAAAGTCATGGTCATTAGCAATTACTCACTGTACATTTTTGCTATACTTAACTACCAATGACGATGATAATCATTATAGAATCTTTGAATAGCTATTGGCTCTAATGAAGCATCCTCTCCATCGAATCTGCCTATATAAGGTCTAATTTCAGTTGCAAAATCATTTCTCATCGAAATTTTGTATCGTGAACATCAAAACTTCAAAGAATCCAAGTTTGTTCAGTGATTTTCAATTTGCAGTAAATTTGTAAATCAATAAGTAGAATACTGTTGCTGTTAAAGTGCTCAACTCATTATATGGAGGTAGTTAAACTCAGTGTTTAACTCAAACAGTGTTAAATAAACATCAATATCTACACTTTTGTAAAAAGATTTTGTCGTTTTTAGAAGACGAAAAGTATAACTCAATTACTATGGCCAGCAGCAAAAAATTTGTTGATGCTATTGTGTCAGGAGACGTAAAAACCGTTAAAAAAATATTAAAGTCCACCAAACTTTGCAGACAGTGCAGTGATAATTTAATATCATTAGCAATTAAAAAGAACCAATCAGTAATTGCGAAGTTGTTGATCAAACATAGTGCCAAAACGAACAACAATGTGGATAACTCTCTGACAACCCCGTTGTTTTACGCCATTCGACGCAAAAATTTGAAAATCGTGAAATATCTTGTGAGAATGGGTGCAAACGTGAATTGGAAGTCACCATCGGGTATGACTCCACTAATGGCAGCTGCAGAACGAAGTAATTTAAAAGTACTTTCATTTATTTTGGAACAAAAACTCGATGTAAATGATGTTGACGCTTCGGGAAATACTGCTTTGCACTATGTGTTCAACTATTTGACCAGAAAAGATCGATTGAGATATTCTTATTCCCACACTCCGGAGGGTAGTAACGACTGTGAAAGAATCATCTTGTTACATGAAGCTGGAGCTGATTTAAACGCCAAATGTTCAATGAAAAACTATCCAAACTTAACAACAATTTTGGATTTGGCAGTGTATATGGGATCCAACGCTACAGTTACTTATCTTCTGTACAACACCCCTGTGGGTCTTAAGCAGTTAGACTATTCCAAAATAGAGCTAGCTGCTTTTGACGAAAACGCCGTCGACGAGGATGTACGGAACAACGATGAGTACGTCGAGTTGCTAGAAGAACAAAGCTCAAATCTTCGATGTCTTTTAGCACTATTTATAATCAATCGGCATGAAATAGGAATTTATGCTACAGAAGATACTCTTCAGAAAGTTTATGACTTACTGAAAAAGGAGGAAGAGGAAAATTCAACATTCTTTGGATACTGTCGTGAGCAAAAGCAATTAATGATGGAGAATCGTCGATTCCTGGAAGAGAAACAAATAGGATCAAACAGAATTTCATATTGGAAGTTCATCACCGGGAACCGAGAAGACCTAATGAAGCTTTTTTTCAATGACGATTTTCTGTCTCAACCATTATTGGACGAGCTGAATGATATAAGTACGGATCATCGATTTTTTTATTATCAAGAACTATTCATGGACAAAATTTCATACGCAATCGGGAAAAGCAACGCTGTAACAAAAGTTATTGAGGAGGTCAGTTATCTGTTTAGAACAGTGTTGCCTTATGATTGCTGTGAGCGTATTGTTTATTCAATGTCAAATGATGAAGTGAAAAGTTTTATAAAAAAACTTGAGCCGACTGACATTGAAGACTATGATTTTTAATATTAAGATGTAAATTATACTTGTTAATTTTATATTGTTTTTTTTTTTATTATTATTTTTAATATCAAAATGTAATTTGTACTTGTTAATTTTTTATTATTGTTTTTATATTATTTTTAATATCAAAATGTAAATTGTACTTGGTAATTGTTTTTTAAATTCATTAATTATCAATGTAAATTAAAAAGATTTTTGTAAAATCATATTCACAGTTCTGTTTTTAAAATTTCATTTTTTCTTTTTAGTTTTAATTAATATAATAAGATTGATTTAAAATAAAATAATTTTTAAAATTAAATTTATATTAAAGGTAGTCAATAATTTTTTAATAAACTTATTTATTTTTTTATATAAATTTTATTATATCATTTATAAATATACCCTTCACATAGTTTTTATGTATAATTAGTCTACTTAGGTATAAGGTCAAAAAAGTGATGACAGTTCTGTTCCTAGAATTTAATTATTTACTTTTTGGAAGTATTAAGTTATAAAATAAAAATTACTTCAAATACAATAATTTAAAAAATTTTTCATTTTTTTTTAGCTTTTTGTTCTCATAAGATAAAAGACCCAGTTATTGACACTTAATAATATTATATTTATTAATTTATTAGAGTTGATTTGTTTTTTTTAATTAAAATAAAATTGCAAGTGTCAATAACTAGGCCAGCGTGAATAACTGGGTCTTTTATCTTTATTCCTTTTTAAAAACTTTGAAGTTTTTAAATCTGCTAAAATAAAAAAAAAAAAAAGATATGTTCTTTTTTCCAAAATACAAAATTTTTTATCTATAATATCATTGTTAATTCTGAGAGTGGCAGAATTGTCAAGTTGCTAATTTTTCTGAGCTGAGACTTCACGTAGCTAAACTTGAAATTGAAAAGAAAGATTGTAGGAATAAAAAAAAGTCAGAAATACCTGTAAGTACTGTCACATTTTATTTTTTTTTTTTTTTACAATTGATAATTGTATTTCATTTTTAACCGAATAAAAAAAACCAGAAAGGCTGGATTAATTTTTGTCTCGGATCTGATGATCAGGTAATTCATTTTCCAATTTAGACACCATTTTTTGCATAAAAGATCATGTTCAACTTGTTGATCAACTACTCGAGTATCTTGTCTTAACTACTCAGTTAAGACATTGGATTTATATTTTGCTAAGTGTAGTTGATCTTCCTTTAAATCCTGAAGTTTATTCGTATTTGAGAAGCCAGAGCTAATTTAGTAAGAAGTCATCAATTGACACGTAACGTTTATTATAAATTGTTATTCACGTATTTTTTTTCAGACTTGTAGCAATGATGCAGAGGTATCAACTATGAATCTTTTCATCTGTCTCATAGTAAGATATTTTAGACAATTAGATTTAGCTGATTCTTAATAAAATACTGTAAATTAAGCATCAAATAAATTTTTTATATTTTAATATATCTGATTTTTATTTCCTATTATAAAATTGAGATGAAATATATGTGGCTTCAATTTATTTGTGATTGATCGAATATATCATAAGCATGGAAATATATTATGCAAACTCTATATTCATCATGTACGCACAAATTAAATTCTAGTCTTTTTTATACTCTACAGATAAAAAAAATTACTTGAATCAAGAATAATTTTGAAGAACTTTATTTTCTTGATTTGAATAGAAATATTCTTGAACTAAGAAATTTTTCTTGGTTGAATTAAATTTTACTTGATTCAAGTTAATTTTCTTTTCTTTGTTAGAAAAAAAAATATTTCTATTAAGAATTTATATTTGTGATACAAGACCGTATATTCTTTCAAATTTCCGAGGATGAATTGTTCTACCTGACAAATTCTTTTTAGTCTAAAGAATTGATTAATTTATTTAAAATAATTTTTTGATCAATTAGAATGAAGCTATTCGTTTGTTTACTTATATAATCGTGGCAACAGATTTTGACATTCTTCTGTCAGAAAAATTAATACATTAAATTGTTTATTTACCAAATTCTTAAATAAAAAAATTTTTGTCTGTACATAATTTTTGATTTTTATCAGTGTAAATTTACATTTCATCAAAATTGAACAATTTTTTCATTCCTGTTTAATTTTTTGTCACAAAATTAATGTTTCCTTCAATTACTGCAACAAAAAAAAAGAATTTTCATAAATTTTTAACCAAATTAGTTGAACAATACTTCAAAGTTAACAAATAAAAATTAAGTTAGCCGACATCTAAAAATTTTTATAATTTTTTTTTATTAAAAAAATTATTACAAAATAATAAAAAAAAAATTTTCATTTGTAAAAAACTTGAAAAACTGTAAGTGCAATTTTTTAAAAATCTTTTATGACATTAAAGTTAGCTGTCACTTGACAATTTTTTAATTTTATTTAACAAAAAAATTTTTTCCAAAAAATTAATTTTAGAAAATTGCATTTTTTATTTTTTTAAGTTTCTAAATGTCAATTTTTTTTTCTTATTTTTTTTGGCCATAATTTATTTGTTATAAAATTTTTTTAATTATTAAATATGTGCTACATTAATTTTCATGAATCTTTTTTAGCTCTAATTTAATAATTAAAATCAAACCAAAAAATTAAAAACGTCGGCTAACATTAGTGTTATAGTTAACGCAATCATCGTAGAAAAGAAAAAGAGAAAAAGTATCAACTTTATATCAGCAGATATCCCGGTAAGTAGATTCTTGGTACTGCAGAAAACCAACTTCTGTCCATAACAGTGCGACATCTACAGTCTAGAACAGTTAGAACAATTTAAAAAAATTAAAAACATCTCAAAGAGGGGACAAACTTGCGCACTTATGATTACGCAGTATGGCGCGCGACCTTTGTAAAAATAAAGCAGTCTGGCGGCGAGCGCTGTCATATCCACATCTCATCGTAGTTACTGACGAAGCATCCAATAATCAACCCCGTGTGCTCGCGAATTCAAAAAGTGAGAAAAATTTTCCGAACGCGCAACCGCAGTGCTCTCGCAAAAATCTCTCGCGAAATTCCAGTACGCAATCTCCGAGGCAGCATCTCGAGGGCTGTTCCACACCCTTGTGCTCATTTTCTCCATACCAGCGTCTTTCAGTTCAGCTAACTTTATTTCATTGTTACAATTGTAGTTAAGTGTTTTCCCACAATTACTTTTATTGCATACTTATTACACATCAAAAATAACAAAGAAATATTAACATCGATATTGATAAAACTTACCATCGATCTGACGTCTGATGCTTCTTGTCTCATGCGGCCAGATTTAATTGAGTGATTTCCCCTTACCTTTATGCGGAAGTTAATAAACGCAAATTGTTTTTCAAAATACTCGGGTTTTATTATCGTTATTATAATATCTCCCTACGACATTTGAGTTATTATGTTCTAAGTTATAATTTTATGAGCTCACGTGATTCGCTGCTATTAAGGTTAATTATTTTATTAATATTATGCTACCTAATAAATATATTAATAAATTAATATTAATTAATAATCCATAATTTTTCATTTTGTTTTTATTTAGAAAGTGATAGTGAACTTGGCTGAAGCTATTGACACTAATAAGGAAATTAGTAAACGTCATAAAGATGGATTTCAAGTTCAACGTAAATAGACTATTACCGAGAAAGATCAACAAGGTCACTCATACACTAATACCTGAAGATTTTCGTGGTGATCGACGAGAATATAAGTAATTTATACATTTATTCATATGTTAAGAAATAAATTTCCTTATCGTGATTTTATTGTAAGTGAAAAGAGAGAAAGGGATCAAGGTTACGGTTCAATTACAAGTCCTGGGAACTTTCACTATCTTGGGCGATTATTGATAAAACCATCATGATCATTATCATTATTATTATTATTGCTGTTAATAATTATTAATTGGCTGTAATAGAGACAGTAATTATAATTATAATAGCTAATTGATTTGTTTCTTATGTTGTAAATTGAGAGTAGAAAATAGTAGTATGAACGAGGTATTGAATAGAAAATTTTAGCGTCATAATCGTCAGTAGAAGGTGTAGACACTCCTTTAAAGACATTTATTGCGGTTGTGGGCGGACAAGACGTGTCGCGAGACTGTGGGAAGTTAAAAATATTAAAAATGTTTAAGTACATGCATCTTCATTGTATATTCAATTGTATAATATACAAGTCGGGCGTCGGGCATAAATTAAACGCTGGCTACACTTGCTACTTGCGGTTTTTAAAGTTTGTTTTTTTACAGAGAAATTCTTTGGTTTGGTTTAAGAGAATGTTGAATGGATTTTTTAGGGGATTTAGCAATAATAATTAATTTAATTTAAAATAAATATTCTATCTAAATTTTCAAAAAATTTATAAATATTTTGAAAATTTATTTTAAGCATAACGGCTACCCAATTTCAATACACAATAACTAACATTTAAAAATTTTTTTCAATTTTTCTTATTAAAAAAAAAGTTTGCCCGCCAAATTAATGACAAATTTGATTTATGAATAGAAAATACTCAAATATAAATATTCTTAAGAAAAAATACTTGAAATTAAGGTTTAAAAGTTATAAAAAATACAGCAGTACTAAAAAAAAATCAGGTATAATAATTTTGCAGTTACTGTGTTTTAAAATTGGGCAGTCGACAAATTAACATTAATTTTTATGATAAAAAAATAATTTTGACAGAATTTAATTTGAAATTTTATTTTTAAATATTTACTTCTTTAAAAATTTTTATTTTTAGTTTCTTTTTTTGAAACATAAAACTTGTCATTTTTTATTTCTAATTATACATTCAAATTCAAAACAACTAAATTCAAATGAATACTTCCTATTTACAATTCCGTATTTTGAATACTAAGTTACTTAGATTTAATTTTTCCATGTAAATCACATCTCCATCAGTCTTTTAATTATCTAAATTTCCAACAAATTTAGTATTCAACTAAACAACAAAAATCATAAGCAGTCGATGCGATCACCATCGATCCGACCTCCACATTAATATATGTACAAATGAAATAAACAGCCAAACATTTTCCTGTTGTATCTAATTCTATCCAATTAGATATTAAATAAAATAAACAATTCACCGGCGTCAGGTGAATCACACTTACATCAGTTTATACATCTATATATTATATACAATAAAGATCCGCACCGAGTAGCGGAATAAACGACGAGACTTTTCGATCGACCAAGCATGACGAACGTTGTGTTGTTTCCTACATCCTTTCTTTTTTTTATTTATCCTCATCTGTTGTAATCACAAATCCTTAATTATTATAACATATTATTATTATTATTATTACTATTGTCATTATTACCTCATTGAAGTCCGATGCCCGACACAAGTGCAGAAGTATTTTACTGAACTGGTTAATACAGTTCGTGATAAATAAATTTATTGTTAAACTTAACTGATGAATGAATAATTTGCAAAAAAGTAGAATGTGTCTATAGTTGGGTAATGTTTATAGACATATTGATCGGCCTGAATAAGTAAGATATGAATTAGCATCTTTAACACATAACATAACATACTGGTGACACGAATCCAGTATCGACGTGGTTTACATCTTATATTTTTTTATAAAATTATTTACTATTGTATTACAGTTCTGTGTCAATAACTCATGTTTTATTGTTAGCTTTTCGTGTCACTAATAATTTCTTATCATCAATCGCATTGCTATTATCGGCATTACCATGGTATATAATAACGTTAAATTAAATTATAATTACAAGTACAATTATAATTAAAGAATTAAATGCTTACAAAGTATAATGATTAAAAATTAATACGTCAATAATTACGTAATCTTTTTATTTGTACCATGACATTTAATTTCAACTCTGATAAGTTTTAATACAATATAATATAATACAAATAATTCTCAGAATTTAGATTGATTAAAATGATAGACAATTTTAAAAAATATTAATCTAAAATTTCCGTTCTACTGGCCTTATGTGAAAGCTACCAACCGCGTTGAAAGTTTTTCAAACAATTTACAACGCTCCGTTTCCCCCAATGATTCATTTCTCTATTGTTTACTTAGCTAACGTATAACGGATTTTACCTCTTAATTAATTTTATTTAACTTAATTATTTAATTATCTATTAACAAAATACCTGTATTGTTATTATACATAATAAATTTTGTTATCTTCAGATTTTATCAGAGTTTGTTGAACTGAAGTAATTTTTTTTTACAGTGAGTCGCAAAGACAGATCTCAAGGATTTTGGATGATATGGGTGAAGCATCGGCGATGGCTCAAGGCTTGAGCAAACCGATTACAAGTGCTCTCAAATTGCGCGATACCGATCACATTGTCTATCTCTTGGTAGATAGCGCAGGAAACGAGTAATTACTTATTACAATTACTTTTTGTGTTTATAGTTGTATTAACTTACTTTTAGTGCTTCCGTACTGAGAAAGTATTTCAGAGCTGATGTTACGTTATTTCGAGTAAATCCGGTACGGAGAATTATTCTTTTGTTTGTAAATATTACTTCATTGTAGAGCAACATTTATATCTAAAAGTTATAGAATATTTTTAGGTCAAAAGTAGATTAGTGCTAGGATAAATTTATATAAGTTTTATTTTTATAAAATTCTGACTTTAAATTTAAGATTTGTTTTGATGTAATTAATTGCAATTGTTTTTTTTTTAACTTATCGCTAAGAAAATTGAAGATTTTCAAAAATTGGGAAGTTTTGGTTTTACCCCGTGTTGTAAAAATCGAGTTTTTATCAGATCTCGACGTTTTAAGGTCACAGGAAGCTTCCCTGACTACCCCCGCGATGTTGTCACTATGTCTGTATGTGTATATGTGTGTATGTGTGTGACCCGCTTATAACTTTTAAACGGCTTGACCGATTTTATCGCGGTTGGTGCCATTCGAAAAAGCTAGACCAAACTTAGATTTTGAATACAGTTTGGACCGATAGATTTTGATAAATCTCAAAAAAAATGAGAAAAAAATTTTTTTTTAATGTGGTTTTTTTTTAATAATTTTTAAACGGCTCTATCGATCAACTCCAAAAACTAATCAGCTCTTAACTTTAATAAACCTCGTCGATCGCCGCTAATCCGGTTAAAATCAGTTGATTTGTTCGAGAGATATCGTGAACGAAAGAAAACCGAAAAAAGTGTTTTTTCATAATTACTCCGAAATTCCTAGTTCGATCAATTCAAACTTAAAGATTCTTTATGAGGTTTAAAAAACTGCATCAAATGCCGCCAATCGCGTGAAAATTGGTTGATTCATTTAAAATTTATTGCGGTTTGAAAATTCAAAAAATAGTGTTTTATCAAACTTCTATCAGACTTTTGAGCTCGAAGAGCTCAAAAGTATAGAAAATCTATCTCTGTGAGCTCGGAGAGCTCAAAAACGTCATCAGTGCAATTTTAAGCGCCTATGTATGGAATTATTTTTTTTAACTAAAATTGTAACTATTTTCATAAGTCAAATTTTACATTTACTTTGTTGATGAAGTCAATTTTTATTTTCTACTTAAAGCTTTTCAAGGATTGAGTGCCTTACCTTATTCAATTAGGAGTGATTAGATTTAATTTTGTTCTTCACTTTTGCACGCGAAAGTGTGATTTATTATCACTATTTTTACTCTGATTGAAAAAGTATTTTCTGAATCAATTAACCTCAATGTTGCGTGTCAAATTATACTCTTTTCTAATCATTACAGCCAAATGACCAATTTAATTTAAAGTGAAGGATTAATTTAAAACCAAAAGTTATTGAAATTTTCAAAATCAATTTCTTATTTATTATAGTATTCAATATTTTGTACTAAGCTTTGATATTGTAGCGATGAAACTTTTTCCTTACCTAGAAATTTCAATACATTATTTTTATACACAATATAATGTCGTAACTTACTTGAAGACAATAACCCTGAAAAAGTAACCGGAACAAATGTAATCTAGAAAGTACCAACTGGCGACACTCTGTGCCTGAAACATAGGATCTAAGTAATGTTTCAAAGTTCCATAACTCTGCTTTAGGTTTATGATTAATAATTCTTATTTTCTAAAAAAAATCCGCAGAAAATAGGATGTTTTTATGATTTGATTCAAAGTTTTAAGAAGTTAAAGTTTCAGAACTAAAGTTTTTTATATTTTAGATTTCTTGAAAGAAAAAAACATTGAAGTTAGCTAAAAATAACTTTTTGCGATAAGTTGATATAGCTTCTTAAAGTTTAATGTTTTTGCGCTTGAAATATTTAGGTAGAATGAAGCTAGAGCATTTTGAAGTTTCCAATTTCGTGATAAATGAGAACTATGATTTAAAAATTATTACGGTTGAATACTCGTGTCGTATCTACTTAAATTTAACAGCTATTTTAATACTTCACCCCTTCTAAGAAACCCGAATTGAATAAAATCTTAAAAACTAACCCTGAGGTCATGAATAAATATTTAATCTCACGAATGAAATATTTAAACTTACAAATCGATCCGACAAAAAAAAATTACGTGTTGCAGATAAGCGATCTCGTGTTATCGATAAGATCGGTGGTAAGAAGACTATTGACAAATGAGGTCACGAATGTTTTTATAATAATACTAGAGTAGTGAGTAGTGAGTAGTTTGTAGTAAAATAAAAAATAGAATAAAACAAATAAAAGAATTTGAAGTCTAAAGTGACTAAATCGTGACTGCAGGCATCCGAGGAACTTGGGAATCCAGCCAAGACACGAATTGTACTTATGACCTCGCTATTTCTTTCAGTAGCTTCCTCGCATTTTAAAATTTAAATTATATATTATACTAAATACTATCTATTTACTACTACCCGATAAACGACCCAGTTTTTCCAACCGTTAAATCAAGTACGTACTTGTGTTGAAGAAAACAAGGGAAAATAAAATTATAGTTAACCGGTGATTGCATACTCATTATTACTACTGACTACTTACTGCTCACTATGTTATACTTTAAATTTAATAATATAAATACCAAAACTAAACTCTTCTATTGTCATTTGTACTTATTTTTACTATCGTTACAGGGGCCTTGGAAGCGTCGTGGGATTGCTCAAGACCGGATCGAAAAACCTTTTCATGTTCGACGAAGCCGGTGCGTACTTCCAGTTGCAGCCACGTTGTATTCTTGATTTTTATGTTCATGAGTCTAAACAGCGCATGGGATTTGGAAAAGACCTCTATGAATTCATGCTGGTTGTTAGTATATATTTATATTTATAAATTAATATTTAATCCGAATGATATTGATTTAAATCAAGTTAAGAAGAAATTTAATTTGAAAATAAGAATTTTATTTTTTTCATTTATTATCAAAGAAATTTTAGCACACTGATAAAAGAATTTATTATTTTTTCTTAATATTTAATATTTATTAATCATTTATTAACAGTGAATTAATATTCATTAATAGCAAAAAAATATTTTTTTATATTTCATAAATTAATAAATTGTTTTTAAATAAACAAATTTATTAATAGTTAAAAAAATTCTTCCATTAGCGAATAAAAAAATTTTTGACCCAGGAAAATTATTACACTCAAAAAGAAATGTTCTTTTAATGAATAATTGTTTGAAAAACTGAAAAAAATACTTTAATCAAAAATCAAACTTAAAAATAAATAAATTTTCAATTATTTTAAAATAAAAATAGAGTGATTAAAAAAAAATTTTATTGTAAAAAACTTTTTTTTGTTGATTACTTTTAGCTTTGTTTTTTATTAAACTGTGTTTTTTAGTTCTTTAAACTATAATTTATTAAGTTTGTAACTACCTCCCTGTGACGGGAGTAGGTAATTTGCGCGCCTGGTGCCTTCTTTGAATGCGGTAGTTGTTTCTCAGGCTCTTTTTCCGGTAAACTTAAAATCGCTATTCCTGATGATCCTGACTAGGAAAATGGTTCAAACTTATTTAGTTATTGTATTGTACGGTCTTTAATAAGTGTGCAAAGAGTTTCAATAGAACCCAAGGTTTTGAAGTGGGTAAAAATTACATTCAGAGATTCCGGTACATACATACAGGCAAAACTAATAGTAAAAAAAAAGCGTATTAACTAAAGAAGCTTTTTATAATGTAGAAAATATATTACCCCTCCTAATACGCACGCAATTTATTTTTTTAAACTATAAACTCTATTTTACAAACCATAAATTTTTAATTATTAATCTCAATTTCTTATTAAATTCTTCAGTTAAATTGAAAAGAACTTCAAATTATTTGTAAAGTGTAAACTAGTATTAGCAAGTTGAACAATGTATACTTCAACGTTATCTTATTTGTAAAAAGTTAATTATAAATAACTATGATAAAAATATTTGTGAACTTGACTAATAGGTAACATGAAAACTTTTTAACTTATTATATATTTACAATTGTTATCACATGTTTCCCTTTCAAATGCATGACACACAAGTTATACATTATTACTCGCGTGAAGTAAACCAGTTCAGCGATGGATCGTTAAAGATCTTAATTAGCTTGAGAGGTCGACTCTAAGTACTCTGTAGAATAGTAAACTTTTAAAGCTGATCAGTACGTCAGAGATAATAAGCAATAGGTGAATGAACTGTGAATATATTAATTTTTCCCGCATTTACCCGCACAATTAACTTTTAACTTACATAAAAATTTATTTAAAAATTACTAATATTTTTTTTTTTTTCTATTACAGGAAGAAAGAATTCGGCCAGTTAAATTAGCAATCGACAGACCCTCGGATAAATTTTTGCGTTTTCTCCGGCGCCATTACGATCTCGAAGAAGTTATTCCTCAGAACAATAAATTCGTCGTTTTCCGGGGATTTTTTGATACTGGTAAGTATAAAATATTTGTTCGATTATTAAAATGCGTTCGAGCCCTTAAAAGTCTAACAGAAGGTCGACGCGTTTTCTGTAGACGGCCGAGTTTTTAAAATGTTTTAATACGGTCAATGTCATCGATGGCTACCGCTATCGATTGCTCTTGTACGACAACATCTACTTAGCCACGTTACCTTACACTGGTTTATTTCATTCTGAATTATCAATCACGCATAATTGTGTCAATACTTGCTTCACATAACTTATTCATTATTGTGTATTTACAGAAAATCAGGAGGTTGGTAGCACGAGGTATAGCTTACCTTCGAGAGGCTCCGTCGATTATTCGTATAACAACAACAATAACAATAACAGCAAGCCTCCGTCTGCTTCAAGGTAATTAGATATATTTTTTGTTAAATTATTTAACAAGTATTAATACCATATTGAAGGATTTATTTTTATAATTAATTATTAATCTTTATGGTATTTGTTCTCAGTAATGGCCACTCGATGAATCATTCAAATTCAGCGCATTCAGGAGCACCGAGAAGCTCTTACGGACGTTTTGCAGCTGCGAGGCCTCCTTGCTCAATGGCTAATGTATGTTAATTATCATTTTTAATAAGTACGCTTATTCTAAAGCTTTCACTAGAAAACTGCTTTTAAATGCTTTTACTTATTTTATTTTTAATAATTATTTAGTTTCATTGCTCTACTTATTCTTGTTTATTTTTTAAATGTCTGTCAAACGGATCATTACATTTTAATTTTTAATCGTTTTATTTTTAAATAAAAAAATTGATGCAAAATTTTTTTTTAGGCAGATTTCTTTAGAAATCTATCTATTGCAGCCGGTCTCATGTCGTAATTTTAAGAAAATTTTGTCATGGTATGTTTCATTTCATCGAGTAATGTCAAAAAATGGCATTGGCTCAAAATTTTATGTAAGGTAAAAGACCCCATTAGTGGCACCTCTAAGCCCCTATTAGTGGCACTTTTTCTTTCAATGAAAAAATATTCTACTTGGAATAAAAATTACAAATTTTTTTTATCTAAAGATCTTAAAGATTAGAAATAATATATTCATAATAGAAATTAATGATTTCATTAATTGAATAAGTACCAAAATTAAAGAAAGTGTCAGTAATAGGATCCCCGCTACTAATGGGGTCTTTTACCCTATATATTTAGGTATAATTTTTTTTTATTTAAAAAAAATTTTTGATTTCGTATATTTTATGAAAATAATTTTCCAGATGTACACGAAAAGATTAAACCCCGACTGGTTCGTGTTCTGCACCAGACTCAGTCTGGTGTAAACTAATTTTTTTTTCCATTTTTTCTTGCACACAACTGAGTCTGGTGTAGAACACGAACCAGTCGGGTTTTAATTTTTCCGTGTAAAAAATACATGAAATCTATCAAATTTATCTGGTTTAATTACCTTCAATTTAAGCTATTATTCGTCTAGTTTTGATGATTTTTTAAATTTATTTTGTGACTTTGAACATTTGAAAATATTTTTCAATGAACGTATTTCGGCCCTTTTTCTTTAAATAATTTTTAAGCCGTAAAAGTTAGCTTAAATTTATTAAATTTAATTCAAAGTTCACATGATTATCTTCAATTTAAGCTACTGTTCGTCGACTTTTGATACTTTTTTCAATTTGATTCGTAGTTGGGAAAATTAATAAAAAATTAAAAATAAATTAATTTTCATCTCTTATCATCAAATGACTTTCATCTATTACAAATCCTATTTTTTAGGTAGATGTCTTTGAATATCTATTTGTTGTGTCGGTCTTATATCGTTATTTGCAAAAATATATTAAAAAATAAATTTTAGGAGATTATTGCCTTTAAATAACGTGTTTTTTTCAATATTCAAATAAGAAATCTACCTATCCATGTCGGGTGCGGCCGAATAGCTCGTTTTTAAAAATTTGCAATAAATTAACTAATTAAATTAAACTTTATCATACTTTTTTTTTTTTTTATAAAAGATACAAACATAAAAAATTTTGATTTGACTCGCGATTGGTTTACCGCAAGTATATAAAATGTTACGTATAAAATTAAAGCTTATATTTTATACCAAATAAATGAGTTACTCAAATAAATTGTGAATAAAAGTTTAGTTCACAATTAATAAATGCAAGACTAATAATAGATGTTGCATTGAGTAAAAAACCATGAGGTTGAGTTTATCTTTAATTTATTTAAAGTAAAGAAATGCAACTGTGCGCTACAAAGTATGTAAGAATAACTAACTTAGAGAAAATACAAAAATTGTTACAAGGAGAGTAAGAACTAGGCATTACAAGTACAAGCAGAAAAAATTAGGAGTAGGAATATTTGATAACGAATAGTTAACGAGGAAATAATTTGGAGGCGGGATAGTTGCAAACTATGCAGTTTTGAAAAATAAGCAGGAAAGGGAATAGGGATGCTAAGATTTTTACCTGGATGGGCGATACGTTTACAGAAAATATTTCTAAACTTAGTTAGCAATTAAAAGATTAAAAATACAAAATTTACCAAGAGTAAAAACCCAGAGTAATATAACCCAGGTATCAAGTTTATGACCATAAGCAGATTAAAAATTATTTAAGAAGATATCCCAAAAATTAGCATTAAAAATTCATTTTCTATTCTAAAGCTAGAAAATAACAAGAATATAAAAAGGCAAAAAATTGTCTAGACTGCTATTGCAATACATAGACTGGGAAATTTACACTCATAAATAAAGTTGAACAAATGAATGAACCTTTTTTTCTAGATAACTTAAAATACTTAAAAATACGGGTTTGAATTTAAAATAAAATATATTATTTACCAATTTAAATAATAATTTTGACTAAAAGATTTAGAATAAAAAATATAAAATTGTTTAATTAATTTAAATTTTTCTAATAAAACTAATCGTACGACGGAACAAATTTAATTGACGAATTTCTAAATACTTAAAAGTTATAATATTTTTATTTTGAATTATTAAATGAATTTATTGAAAGAAAAATCAAGCATTTATTTAAAAGAAGAAATAAGTCGAGTAATGAAACAAAATAAATTCTTCTTTGTAACTAATAAATAATAAAAACTAACGCTTTCTTCTAGATAATACATAATGTCCCAGTGTTTGGCCACGCAGCCGAACGTACCGGGTGAGTAAGAGACGATAAAAAGCACCTATGAACGTCAGATTAGATGATGAAAAATTAAAACGAGTAAAGTCATGTTGCATACACCACATGTCGTATTAAGCGCACAAGCATCGGCTTATATATATATATATATGTTTTAAAATGTTCATTACCTCGTATCACGTCGCACATCAACTGACTCGTATTTTTTTTATTCTCCGTCTTAGTCTATTCTGCTGCTGCCGGAATAGAATTAAACTATTTTTATAACTGTTAAAGTTTAAGTAAATTCTATTATTCGGTCCGACATTACTGACGGGATACGAAGCTGATGAAATTTTTCACGTACTTTAAATGTCTGTTAATTAGAAGTGATATATTTTATTTATAAATTATAGCGTAGTTACTTTTTTTATATATATTTAATATAAAATATTGTAAGAAGACATTTTATTTGTATTGATTGCACTTAGTTTATTTATTTTCTATTTTTGTAAATACAGATTTTTATTTTATAGTTGTCATCAATGTGCTTTTATATTATTTATTATTATTAAAAATGCTTTTTCTTGCCAATTTATTTATTTTTATTTATTAAATCCTGTTAAATCCCATTTATGCATTTTGTGATTGTAATTGTTTTTTTAATCAATATAAAATAACAGACTTACAAATAACAAGTGATTGTGATTTTAAAGTTGATAAGACAGAGACCGTCATCATAATAATTTTTTAGTGATGTCCCGTCAACACCAGGACCAAAATTGGAACGTCCACGTTCATTAAGTCTCTACTCAGAACTAGAACAAAAGCAACGCAACCACGAAATGACGACTGTACCAACACCAGCCGCAGAACCGCATTGTACGCCATTTGTTCGTGAAGTTCCAATTGATCACCCGCCAGCGCCACAAAGAGACAGAGAAACTTACGTTCCAGTGCGTCATCACTATGAATCCGAGCAATTAGAACCTCCAACACCTCAAACAACACCCAACAGACGCCTGATGTCTCAAAGAATGACCTCAGATGAACGTTCTATCAATCACTTATCATCAAATGAGCGCCCTATGACCCAAGGGTCGTCTGATGAAGCTCCAATGAACCAAACATCCAACGAACGTCCAGGAACTCAATCATCGAGCCATGAGTCGCTGCCCAGAGAACGTCCAATGAGCCATTCAGGATCTAACACACGTCCTATCTCAAAATCGCGGTCTACTGACCGATCTATGACTCAATCAGCAGCTCCAAGTGGCCGTCAAACTCCTCAGCCCAAGAAAAACTCAACTCAGAATTTCATGTCCATTCATTCTGAAGAAAAATCACCAGCGGGTATCAAGACGACGCCATCTTGTGCTTCGGAAGTCAACGGGAATCAAAATGGCCACTTGGATCTTAAATTCTATCACTCGCCTCTTTGGTAGATTGATTTATCACCGAGATTATAGGACTAAAACTTAAAATAAACATAATAAGTAGATTAATTATTAAATACTAAACTCGTAAATGTGTGAAGGTTAACCGTGAGATATAGTCAATGATTGTCATCGGGTGGTTACTTTTTTGGTAATGGATTTTAATTGTTTAATGATTAAAAATATCGTCAACTCAGGCTGTGCTGGCTCTTTTAATACTTAAGTAGTTATTTTTTAATGTTTAATCTTTATTTTTTTTCCAGCTAATTTATTATCTAATCAGTACTCACTTAAATTAGCACAAGGCACCTCTAGACGGGGCACAAATGCTAGATATCTTTTTAAAAATATACTTATATTGCTTAGATTGTATTCATTATTTATCAATTGTTAACTATTGATTTTCATAACTTCATTAGAATTTTAATTAATTAATTATTATGTGTATTTATATTTAGAACCATTGTATCGAGTACAAAACCACCTTAGATTTAATATAATGGCATTTATTTATAATATCTGTATTTTATTAAATAAAATAATATTTCAGGAGTAATTCAAGAGCTATGTTTTGTCTCAGCTATAAAGACTTGGCGTAATCAAGATTAATTTCATTTTTTTATTTAATTGTATTGAAACGCTATTTTAACACGCTAATTTTGTTAGTTTGTATTGTTTGATACTTATCAATCAGAGGTAATAAAGAGATGACAATACAACACGATTAAAGAATTATATAATTATGTGTCAAAATTTTCATTATTCATAATTTGTTATTAATAAAATTAATTAATAAAATATATTATGAAAAACTAAATTAGCTTTTTTACTGTTTTTTTTTTTTTTTTACTGAGAGAAATTAATTTAAATCTGATAATTATAAGAAATTTTCAATAAATATATTAGTTATTATTATAGTATTATGATTATTATTATAGTATAGTTAACGCATGATCCATCAAATTTATGAAAATAAAAAACTTACAAGAATTAAGCAAGAAAAGAACGACCAGATTCTGTTTTCCTCAGCTCATAAAACTTATAAAATAATTTTTAGTAAATTTTTTTATAAAATCTATAACTATTGTAATTGATCTTATGGCAGAAGCTACGGAAAACTTTGTCATATTATGTTTTCGGGGGCCAAGTACGTACGGAAAATAGTATTCGATCAGAAGTTTATATACTTATACACGGAAAAAAATTTTGCAAAAATTACAATATGGTAACATCGTAATCCAGGATCAGACTTTCAATACGGTTACTTTGATGATTTTACATTTAAAAATTTACGATGTTACATCATAAAAATTCGGATATTTACCACTTTTATAGGTATTTTTACAATACCTTGGACAACTTTGAAGATGAGCAAAGTCGGCCGATTACTTTCGAAATGATGGCCATTTGAAATTTTCAAAATATCGATTATATCGCAATTTCCGTGATTCTATTCGTATACACAGAGAAAAAAAATACTTTTGCTCAATTAGCAATTTCTTGGCTCAAGAAACTCGCTGACGATCAAATGTTCTATTGATATTAATTATTAATTTCTGAAGAGAAGAACATCAATATCTATCTTTGGATAATAAATAAATAAACAAAAGAATAGATTTATTTAAATTAAGTAAATATTATGTCAATCAATTTAACAATTTCTTGAGCTAAGAATATATATCTGAAGAAATTTTTCAAGAACATAAATTCTTGTATCAAGAAAATTTTCTTAATAAAAGTTTTTTTTTTTTCTCAGTGTATAACTTTTGATTGAGAAGAGATACCTTATTTTTTAAAATTACACATTGAAGTTAATAACCTTTGTTAGTGATTTTATGAAGATTAACCCGAGTTGAAAAAATTAACTTAACTGCTATACTAAAAGAATTTATTTACGCTCATGTAAGTTCATTTTTTCGACTCGGGAATTGCTGTGAAAATACAAAAAAAAAAGGCTATTCCTGTGGTTTTGATCGAAAAATAAGATGATAAGATGCAATTTAAGTTAAATTTTTTATTTTTCAATCATTTTTACCCTTTAAATCTAAGTTTAAAATGAATTGCACGACAATTTAACAAAAATAACTTCAAGAAATCTACTTCTTTGGATGCCGAATGGATTTTTTTGTAAAATGAATTTGATTTGAATGTATCATAAAGCTTCAATATTTCGAGTGGTTAAAAAATATAATTTTAATTTATTAATTGTAATGAAAAGTGAAATTAAATATGGTAGAACTACCGATTTTAGACACTTTGAAATTCAATGATTGTGCAGAAAAATGTAATGTTAAAATAATATTTTCATAGAATTTTTAAATGCTTACACTCATATGCAAACAGAATTAATGATGCTATAACATTTATAAATTATTTATATAACAATTTGGACATCAAATGTCCAAAAACGGTATAGGGTCCACAAGCGGTGCTTCTACCCTAGTATTGGAAAAAAAAAAAATATTTTGTATAATATTCAGTATAAAATTTAATACCCTATTCTTGAATCCGAGTTCTTTGAACAGAGTTTACCGTACAAATCCGATCATTTAATTCTTCGAATTTTCAATAATTCTATCACAATTTAATGTTACAAAAAAATTCAAGTTACTATACACTAAGAAAAAAATTTTTTTTGAAAAGAATGAGCAATGTTGTAATAAGAAATAAATTTGTTAAAAATTTTCAATAACTTTATTTCTTAGTTGAAGAAATCAAGATTCTTCTCACTCTAACTTTTTTTCAACCAGAAAGTTATTATGAGAAAATTTTGATTTTTTTTTAGCTAAAAAATAAAATTTTTGGAAATTTTCAACAAATTAATTTCTTGTTAATTAGAACTAAAAAATATTTTTAAAAAATTGCACTTGGAGTTTTTCAAGTTTATAACAAATGAAAATTTTTTTTTATTTTTCAATAACTATTTTAATAAAAAAAAATTCTAAAAATTTTTAAATGTCGGCTAACTTAATTTTCATAAATAGATTTCCTACTAACTTTACCATCTCTATATACCTCTACGTGTAAAAGATGAAATTTCGAAAATTAATTACTCAAAAACGGTACGGTGAATTGATTTGAAATTTTGGTAGTGAATTATTAATATATTTATCTTTTGATAAAAAAAATTCCATAAGTTTTTTGAAATATGCTTTTCGTGGAGGTACTACCTTAATCATATCTTCTGTTAATCAGTCAATAATAATATTAAGTTTGGATTTATAGATCTTAACTTGAAAATATTTTTGGCAATGAGTAATAGTCAATTTAATTTACCTAGAAATATATTGAGGTAAATATCAGGAAAGGAAAAATTACTAAATATAAGCTAGATTATTAACTTTGGACTCAGACTTAAATTGAGAATATTCGTACTAGAAGTTGAAACGCTTCCTAAATTTAACCAAGATGGAGAATAAAAATATTAATAACATCGACAATAACAACATTGATAACCAAGTAATCATCGACCGTGTGGAAATTGAAAGAGTCCGAGTTCATTCTACCATTAATAATCATCAGGAGGAAGAAGACAAAGATTAACACAAATGTGATTCCATTCTGGATAAATTTTAATTAACGACATAAATCTGTAAAAACTAAACTTTCTTCACGCTATCATAATTCGTCTTCCGTTATTAATTATCAATAATATACAACAGTTAAAAATTTTGAAAATAGTGGTGTCACATATGTGAAAAAAATATTATTTAAGTGAAAAAGTGATTATTTCAATTTTATTACCATTGGTATTTAATTTTTAATTTTTTTACTTGTGATTTATAACTCATTTTTGTAATTATTGATTGAATACAATCTTAAAAATCACTATTTTACATTTATAAATATGAATAAGATAATACAGTTTTGTATCTGTATATTTTTAAGAGACATGTACAAAAAATAAAGCAAGTTTTTCATATTTGTAAAGATAGTTAAGTGTACTTTTCATAGCATGAATTAATCCTAAATTTTAATTAGATTTAATTAATTGAAGAATAGTATTCTGAATAAGAAATTTTTTTAAAGGTAAAGAGTATGTATAAATTAAGAATTCGCAAGAGTTGTCTGATTAAATATGATAAAAATTGTGATTTAAATTAAAAACTTTCTTTTTTAGTACTTTCAATAAAAATTTGGAGGATGAGTAAACAATTGGTTAAATGATACTACCTATTATTAAAAAAATGGTAATTAAAATGATAAATCATTTATTTTAAATTATACTTATATAAGTTAACACACCAATAGAAATAATTCAAACACCATGCGTTGCTATAAATAATTGATCAAAAAATACATCTACAGTAGGTACGCTAAAAAAAAACTGTTAAAAATACAATTTATAAACTCAAATCCTTAAAAATTAACTTTTCAATGTTGACAAAAATGTTAAGTCTTCTCTTTTAATTTGGTTTAAAAATATAATTAAACATATTTTTAATATGTGAATATTTGGTATTCTGTATGGAGATACAACTTATTAAATTTTCTATTTTAGTATTCAATGTATAAAATACTTCTGATTGACTTGAATTTACCTTATTTAAAAATATACTTCATCTTGATGCGCCCAATCACAGAGTATTAAACATGGAATTCACCTCCTTCTAGTTTTTCATCGGTTAGCCAGGAAATCAAGCTGATACAAGTGTCTCGTTCTAAGTAAATCAAACTGAGGAGAATTCCTTGGAAAATTCCAAGACACACACCACCGAGAACATCCAAAATGTAGTGTCTTTTTAACAGAACTCGTGAGAGACAGACTGCAGTAGACCAAGCCAGCAGCGAGGGTACGAACATAATGGGAACAGGCCACAGGTTGATGAAGAAATATGTTAAAAATGCTACTCTCGAAGCGTGGCCTGATGGAAATGAGTATTTATCTGGACCCATTCCAAACGGATCATCATTTTTTGATGGCCTTCGTCTTCTCGTAGCGGCTTTTATAACAGCTACGTTGACTATGTCTATCAGGAGGCCTATGAACAAGTTTACTTGCATTTGATACAAATCTTTGCTGCTTATTATCCATATGAACGCTAACCATCCCGCCAACCACGGAATCGTATGCGCACTTATCTGTAAATTAATTAATCATGAATGAATAAATAAATAAATATATGATACAGAAGTTAGCCGACATTTTTTAATTTTTTTAAATCATTTAATTAGAACTAAAAAATATTCTTTAAAAATTGCACGTGTAGTGTTTTTTTAATAAAAAAATTCATAAAAATTTTTAGATGTCGGTTAACTTAATAATAATAATAAATATATATATATATATATATATATTTTTTGATGGCCTTCGTCTTCTCGTAGCGGCTTTTATAACAGCTACGTTGACTATGTCTATCAGGAGGCCTATGAACAAGTTTACTTGCATTTGATACAAATCTTTGCTGCTTATTATCCATATGAACGCTAACCATCCCGCCAACCACGGAATCGTATGCGCACTTATCTGTAAATTAATTAATCATGAATGAATAAATAAATAAATATATGATACAGAAGTTAGCCGACATTTTTTAATTTTTTTAAATCATTTAATTAGAACTAAAAAATATTCTTTAAAAATTGCACGTGTAGTGTTTTTTTAATAAAAAAATTCATAAAAATTTTTAGATGTCGGTTAACTTAATAATAATAATAAATATATATATATCAATTATTATAAGGTCCCAGGTCAAATAATCAGTAACAAAATTTGAGATAAAAATTTTCTTGAGTTGTTAGGACTTTTTACAGCTAAATATCTCATTAAAATATATTAATTGCGTTTCAAGGTAAAATCTAATAATAATGAATCAAAACAAAAATTAATTAATTATTAAAATTATCTTCTTGATAAATAATAATAAAATATAAATCATAAATTATATTTTTCTTGTCTTTATCATTTTGCTGAAAAATATTTTTTATTAAAAAAAAATACTATGTCAGAGAATAACAATTGTTTGTATTCTTCTCAATTACATTAATGTTAAATGTTATTTATTTTTAATAAAGCGGTAAAATATATCAAGGATATTTATCATAAATTTGTAAATATTTTCACAACTGCATTTTTAAATATTCTTGTTTTTTATCATAAAAATAAAAATAAAGGACCAGCCATTGAATGAAAAAAATTTTTATAAAGTAGAAAAAAATTTATGACATTAAAGTTAGCAGTCACTTAATAATTTTTTAATTTTATTTAACAAAAAGATTTGTTCCAAAAAATTATTTTTAAAAAATTACATATTTATTTTTTTAAATTTCTAAATGTCAACTTTTTTTTGTTATTTTTTTTGCTGTAATTTATTTGTTATAAAATTTTTTAAATTATCAAATATGTGCTACGTTAATTATCATAAAAAATTTAGAATTCTTTTAATTTAGATAATTTAGCATTATAAATATTTAATTTGCTATTTAGGTGTGTGATTAAACCATTACCAGATTTACTTGTGAAGTAAATATTTACGAATTTAGTTATCTTAGTATTTGACCTGTCACCCAAATAAGTTTATCAAATTAACAACCTCTAGAGCACGATAGTGCATCTTTAGCTGCTTCATGGGCATGAAATTCTCAACTTTTTTAACAAAAGCATTGGTTAAGTAGACGTCCATATCCAAAATTTTCTTCAGCCCCGAAGGAATTTCCCGTTTTTCATTTTTCTAAAAAAAAAAAAATTGTCAATTGTATAAATTATATTTTAATTAAAAAGTTTACAATTAAATATCACTAAGTATATTAAAACTTAAATTCTATTAAAAACTAAAATAAAATATTATAAAAAAAATTTTTTTCAAAACTGAATGTAAATATATTATTTCGCAATATGTTAATTATTTTAAAAAATGATCTAATATCTGACATTTCTCATTATCATTTAAAATAATTAATAACAAAAAAAATGATGAGTAAATAATATGTGTACAATTAAAAAATAATAAATATTCTAACCTTATCCATGGTGACTTCTTAAAATTTCAATCCGGTGATCTGATTGCTAAAAGTACAATTGACAATTGCGAATTGCGAGTAATTATAAGGTGAATTTCATTCGATTAATCGATATTTATCAATACACCAAAATGAAAATATTTATTTTTATCAGGAGCTTTGTAGGTTATGTAAATACAACCAGTGTTTATCGTTTTGTTTCTAGAAATTAAATACAGAAGGAGAATTGTCAGCACACGCTTATGCACTGACTACCACCACGTGGGTAACCTTCAGTTGGTTGCGACAGTTGCGAATTTTCTGTAAAGACAACTAAAAACTAAAGACACGAGTCGACTTATTGAAAATCTTTGGGAGCGAAGGAGCGCAAATGGCAACCAACGGAGGGTTAATACTGTCATTAATATTATCAGTCTGATTATGACCAGGACCATTACGCAGGACCAAGGTTTTTCTATCTCATATATTTGTAATCCTGGGTAAGTGATATTGATGTTAGTACATTAATTGTAATATCTGTTTAGTTTGATGCTAGATGTATATTTACTACGTTTGTTGTCATTGTCCGCTTGTTGAAAATAAACAAACAAAAAGTTTTAAATAATTTTTCTTTCTTAACGAATCTTAATAACTTTTTTATTTTATTTTAGAAAATATCAAGGAGATTCAATATTTTATAATTGTCAATTGAAGATACTTTCAAGATTAATTATTATTATTTTTTTTTTTTTTTCAGTGATTGATAATTAAAATAATTATTTTTAATAATTTACTGATATAAAGTGCAGTGAAATGTACGAATCAGCATCTGCAAAACGATTTAAGAGTAATAATAGCAATAATAATAATAATAACAATAATCAATTGCCATTAGATTTTAGTTTAAAATCCTTGTCAAAGTCAGAACCCGAAGTTTCTGAAGTTTCTGAGCGTCTAAACTACGACAGCCAGCAAGAAGATGACCTAGTAGACGACAACAACGTCTTCGCGTCGGCGAACATCGCCAACAAACTACTGGCTCTGGAGTATGAGCTGACCAAGAGGATAGAGCTGATATCCTTCGACCCGCCTGTCGAGTACGTTTACAGTCCGATAGACTACGCAATTTCAGTCCACGCGAATTTCCTCCAGAAATACTGTCACACGACCAAGAAAATTCTGTTTCTGGCGATGAACCCCGGCCCGTGGGGAATGTCGCAGACTGGTATTCCTTTTGGAGAAATAAACGCGGTAGTGAACTGGCTCAAGCTGTCGGGGCTGATAGAGAAACCGTTGAAGGAGCAGCCGAACAGGAAAGTCACAGGATTTGCTTGCCATCGGAGTGAAATAAGTGGCAGGAGATTCTGGAACTTGTTCAAGAGTATTTGCGGTAGTCCGGATAATTTTTTTCAGTACTCGTTTCTGAGGAACTATTGTCCAGTGGCTCTGATGGATTCTGCTGGTCGGAATATTTCTCCTGCTGAGTTAAAGGCAATCTGATGTTATTTGAATCTGTCAAATATGTTTTTTTTTTTGTTTTATTTTTTGTTGATATTAATATTGGTAATTATTGGGTTTAATAATTGTTTTTGATGAAATTTTTGTTTCAGGGCTCTAAATTGAAGGAGTTGAGAGATATTTGTGATTTGACGCTACTGGCAGTTTTGAAACTTCTGGAAGTTGAAAAAATTGTAGGGATTGGAAGATTTGCCGAACAAAGAGCTAAGAATATTGTTAAAACTGCTGGTTTACCGATTAGAGTAAGTATTTTATTATTTTAGTAAAAATTATGGAGTATACAAAAAATTAATTTGATTCAAGAAAAAAAATCTTCAACTAAAAATATCATTTTAAATCAAGCAACATAATTCTTGAACTAAAAAATTATGGTAATTATTTACAAGTGGGGTCAACCCATGTTGGTCCATGTTAAAATTTTTTTTTTTTAATTGTTCCTTTTTTATGTACTTTCCAAAAAAAAAAAAAAAAAAAAAAAAATATATCAAATTAATCAAAAAAAGATAAAATAGAAATTTTATCCAAAAACATGAAAGCCAAAACTTTTTTCAACTTTTAAAGGCAAAAAGGCTATTAAAATCTTTATTTTTTCTTTTCACGAAATTTTTTATCATAAATGCACAGTAAAAATAAGCAGAGTAAAAAAAATTAAAAAATGTTAATTTTTCACCTAGTTATGGCCCAAAATGGGATTGACCTCACTTGTAAATAATTACCAAAATTATCTTCGGTTTGAGTAAATTTTATTTGATTCAAAATGATTAAACTTTAAAATATTAATCGTGGTTAATTTTTTTTTCTTAATTCAAATTAATTTTTTATATTAAAGGGTTACATGAGCATCACGGTTTCAAAAATTCGATTTTTTTTTGTCTTATTAGATTCTACAACATCTCTAGAATATTTTCCTAAAGTTTCAAATCAATCCGAATAATATTTTCGGACATACAGTTTTAAAAAGTTGCGCGTTCAAGGTGCTCTTGTATTTCTCACTCAAAACTTGAAACGCGTTTTTCTCAAAACTATGTTTTCAAAGACAGTGGTTGAGATTACTCGAGAGCTATGCAACCGATCTTGATGAATTTTTAGACAGGTCTTCGAGATATAATTTACAAGGTCTTGAACAAAAAAATTTTTTTTTTTCAATTACAACTATTTAAAAAAAAAATACCGCGAAATTTTAGCCAAATTTTTAATTTTTTGTAAAAACCTCTGCCAAAAATCCAATTTTCATTTATTTTTCCTTCGTTTAAGACCTAGTTTGAAGTCTTAACTAAAGCACATATTTTTTTTTTTCACTCGCTGGAAATGACGTCACATTAGCAGAGTTTTTAATATTAAGTTTTTTTTTTTTAATTTCAATAATCCCTTATTAAACATGTATCTTTAAGACAGTAAAAAGTTTGAATAAAATATTTCATTTTTTCTATTAAAAAAAAATTGTTGAAAATAGGCCATTTTTTCCCAGGGAAACCCATGTAACCCCTTAATGTAGTTAAAATTAATTAATAGAATAAAGCATGAAATTACTTTATTTCTATTCTAAAATTTTACATGATAATAAAAATAATATTTAATTCTTGTTTTAAATAAATAATTATACTTTTAGATTTTTTGGATGCCTCATCCAAGTCCTAGATCCACTGCCAACGAAAATTGGAGCGATAAAGCACTTAAAACTTTAAACGAGTTAGATTTACTTAAATATTTTGTAAAGTCTGACGACGAGAACGTGAACTGAAGAGAAAAAAATAAAAATGACTGAGGATATCAAGTCCAAATGGATGGAGACAGCGCTCGAAGAAGCAAAAAAATCTCTGCGTGCTGGAGAAGTTCCAGTCGGTTGTCTTTTTATTTATAAGGACCAAGTTATTGCATCGGGCAGTAACACCGTCAATGAAACTCACAACGCAACTCGTCACGCGGAAATGAATTGCATTGACCAGGTAATTAAGTATTGTAAGGACCGGAGTCTGGAGTATCAAGATGTCTTTAAGAGTGTCGACGTCGTGGTGACCGTCGAGCCCTGCATAATGTGCGCAGCGGCTCTTCACCAGCTAAAAGTAATGAGTATCACCTATGGCTGCGCTAATGACAGGTTTGGAGGCTGCAAAAGTGTTCTGAAGGTCGCTCCCATTTACGAGTCTGGTGTTGAAATCGTTGGGGGCCTCAAGGCTGAAGAAGCCATGATTTTACTCAAGGAATTTTATAAAGGCACTAATCCAAATGCTCCGGATGATAAACAAAAACATAAAAAGAGAAATAAAGAGCATAAGTAATCTTTTTTTGTCAATTATATTATACAATGATAAAATATGTCAATTTCATTACTACAAAGTGATAATTGTTTAATAAAAATAATTAAGAATAATTGTTTTTACTTTTACTAATATGTTAATCATTTGATGATTAATTGAAACATAATTAACATTGACCAACTATTTTAATTAAACATTTCAAATGTTTACTTTGAAATGTGACTTTATTGTCATTATTACTCAAATATTTTACAAATACTTACCAAATAATTTATTTCCTTAATTAGAAGATTCAATCAAATTATTAATTCAAATCACATAAGTTCTAATTTCAGAATTTTATTAAAAAAAAAAAAATGCCATTCAAAGATACTGAGAAACTACAGAAAAATTCAAAGTCATCGTCGGCAATTCGTGAAACATTGAACAAAACTCCAAAAGATGAGTTACAAAACAAAGCCGAAATGACAATGCGCATAATATGTATATTATTCTGTGTTACTTTCTTTGTTTCTTTAACTCTGACTTTAATTATCGGGTGTATTTATTCTGAAGAAGTGGCTTATATATCTATAATACAAACAATTTTGATTGTAATTAATGCCATAGTTTTTTATAAATATTATACATACACTAAACTCGTATAAAAGCAATGACCTGAAAGTGACAGACATTTGAAATTTATTATAATTTTATAACACTGAAATTATTATGAAAAAAATTGAATAAAAAAATTCCTGGTTTAAAAATTAAGAAACATTATTAGTTGAAACTTTTAAAAGCATTTTTATTGTTGTAATTTATCTTCTTATAAGAATTAAAAAAATTGACAGTTATTAGCTAGCTTCAGTACCATATAAAATGAAAATTAATTTAGCAGATATTTTATAATTTTAGGAATTTTTTTAACAAATAAATTATGTCAAAGAAAGTGAAAAAAAAAAAAATTGACATTTAGAAAATTAAAAAAATAAAAAATTCAATTTTTTAGAAACGATTTTTCAGAGCAATTTATTCGTAACAAAAAAATTAAAAAATTGTCAAGCAACTGCTAACTTTAATGTCATCCATATAAAAGCATTGTTACTCTCAGTGTATTATCTTGCAATTATGATTCACTTACTGATCAATATGACATTATTCACATTGACATTTTAAAATTGAATTACTATAAAATTTTTTAATTTATTTTTTGAAACTCCCGCTGTTTTTATTTTTTGCGCGCGCATCTTTAATCTATGAAAAAAGAAAATATGGCAACTGACATGTCGGAGCCTATTATTGATATTGTTGACAATTATTTTATCAAATGATTAAAAAAGAAATCAATTAATTAGTTGCAATCAATAATTTGCAAGTATTGATCATTTGAATCAACAAAAGTGTCAATAATTTTACTTTTCTATAAACAATATTAGTTTCCCGCCAATTGTCATAACATAACCTTACATAAAGTTGAATTGCAAGTGCATTACAATTATTTAGTTTAATATATTCGATCAAATTATCATTCGATTAATAATTGATCTTAATTATTATTGAATATTTATATCTCAACTTCATAAATTCACATAACTGGATTTGTTAATTTAATTAAAAATAATGAGTCAATTTATAAAGTAAGTACAAAAAATTGTATTAAACTATTTAATTATCAATTCACAAACTTACTTATAAATATTGCGTTGTTATAACAAAATTTTATTATTTTTTAGACCATCAGCTCCAAAAGCTTTGCGTGGTAAAGCACGCCCCAATCTAAATGCCACTATTTCAGCACCAAATTCGCCGAAAGCTCTCACCTCCAGGAGAACTATGGCCCCCGGTTCACTGTCAACATCCTGCGCGTCAACATCAGCACCCTCGTCATTAAACGTTACCATGAGAAGCACTTCAAAGAGTTCCAAGAAGACTAAACCGGACCCGGTCCGCCTGGCCTACATCGAGTATCTGATAGCGAGAGCTATGAACAGTGCAGTAGAAATAGAAAGTGATAAACGTGCTGAAGAACTTACCAAAAAGCTTATTTTACTTGAAATCAATGATGACGAGACTTATGCAACCTTGAACGAATACGAGATGAAAATCAAGGAGGCCAAGGCTTTTGTAGAGGCTAAAATGAAATTTCTAAAACAAATAGAAAAAATAAATGATGAACTGGGTAATTTTTTTTAATTTTTTATCTATAATTAGAGCATTCTATATATTTACCTAATACACTTAATACAGACTTATTATTATTATTATTATTATTAATTATAATTATTAATATCAAATATATTGTAACTATTATTTCTAATGGGACCCACTCGGTATCGCGACAAAATATCCCCCGACATAATGTCCTCGGTGTTAGTCTACTTTCGAATAAACACACACAAAATCCATGATAAAAGGGCACAACACGGTATGTATTTTTTAACACCATAATTTTTGACATCAATTCTATTCATCTTGGTTAACTCTTATGTTGTTTAATTCAATATTGATATACCAAAATATTTAATAAATCATTGTAGTTCAATTTTTGTAAATAGCGAGATCTACTAAACGTAGCCAACCATTATTTATTATTACCTACTGTTAAAGTTTTTTGATGTAATTTTTAAACTTAAGTATTTCTTATGTATTCTTTTGAGCATGAATAAAAATCTACATTTTCAAAAAAAAAAAAAGGCACAACGCGATCACAAGCTTATGTGTTGTAATATTTTCTCTAAAGAAGATCTTGTCGGGGATATTTTGCCGTGGAATCAACTCGCTCAATGGCTTTGCTGTAGGTTTCAGTGTATTGTTTAAAATAAAATAATTAGTTTATTAATTAATCAATTTATTTATCGGTTGATTATCATTCTAGAATTGAAGGATGAAGTAATGGAAACTTTGGAGCGGATCCAGGGCAAACTTCAATCAATGGATAAATTAACAGTCATAAATATTGAGACACACGAAGAGGAATGGATTGTTTTGAAAGATTTGATAGAAGAGTGTGACCAAGTAATGGATAGTATCACAAATGATTATAGAGATTTTGATTTAACTCTTGAACTTAAGAAAAATCTTGATGAGTTTATTAATTTACTCACAGCTGTCTTTAAACAACTGCATATGCAAGTTATTTATTTTATTTCTAAATTATTTTATTTAAGTATTTAATTAAATGAAATTTATTGTTGTTTTCAGCATTCGTGGAGAGTTAGAGCTGCTTGAAGCTGACACTGTAATAACTCTGGGTTCTAAAATTAAGTAATAATGATCAAACATGTATCTTTATTTTTGTACTTTGATTCATCGAAGAAACAATCTTGTTTCTGGAGATTGTTGGATGTTGATGATAGTATCACTGAGAAAAAAAAAGTACTACTCTTGAGAAAATTTTCTTGTCACAAGAATATATATTCTTGATAATTTTCAAGAATATATTTTCTTGTCTCAAAAGTTGATCGAATTATTTTTTATTTAATTCAAATGAACCTATTCGTTTGTTAATCTATTAAAATTAATGCTAATATTTTATTATCATGATAGATATATTGATATTCTTTTGTCAAAAAACTAAAATTTATTTTAAACGATTTTTGAGCCGAGAAATTTTTTTCTGGACAAAAATTTTTTTTTCTCAGTTTATTAACAAAATAATATTACCGGAGCTAAGTTAATTTTGCTACAATGTTTACATAATTTTTTAATAATCCAAGCAAAATTTGTGTTTTTGCGATTATTGACTGATAGCAGTACAAAGGAATATATAATTTCTTTGTCGTAAACTTATATCTTCTTGATCAAGAATTAACGACTGTTGATGATACATTTAAGAAAATAATAATACTTAAGCTAAGTTAATTTTTTTTATAATATATATGTATATAAATTTTTTTAATGTAACATTGTATTTATAATTAAGCAAGACTTGTTTTTCTGCAATTATTGACTGACAACAGTGCTATAAATATAAAATCATTTTTCAGTCGTAAAGTTAAATCTCGTTGATCGAGAATTTAATTTTGGTAATAAATATCTACAAATAAATTTAATCTTGGGGTTTTAAATATTATATTATAAGCTTTAATATGTTTCAATCCTCATTATAAATTTTATATGACAATTCTTTTAATCCTCTTAAAATCTTTATTACGATTAACATTTAATTGTTTTTTGATCTTTTTATTGTTTAGTTTTTTTTTTAATTGTAATTAAATTTTTAAGTTTTAATTTATATTCACATTTACCATAAAAAGGTAGTTAGAAGATAAATAAATTAAATTGTTATCTATAACATAATAATAACATAGAAATCTTGGCTCTTTATTTTTTACATCAGAATAGAAATCTTATCTATCTACTTACTGAATCATTTTATTAAATAATTAAACAAGTTATAAGTAAAAAAAACACAACCACTTTCAATAACAGAACTTAAATACGTTGAATTACTGAAACTAATTTTTCCAAAAAGTTAAAAGCTTTGAAAAAAAATTCATAAATTTTTTATAAAAATAAAAAAATTTCCCTATTATTTATTCAACATAGTATACAGGAGTTTCTGTTTCTGGTAGTGAGTTAGCAAGAGCATTTTTCGCTTAAAATTTATATTATTTATTCATAAAATTGGGGTATAATTTTTCAGTTGCGTAATTTTTTTTGTACAGATTATTGATTGCGTTTAACGTTGAATTTTATCATTATTTAATTATTGCATCACAGATAGTGACATAATTCGTGTTAATTTGATTAAGTATTTTTTTTTAGTAAAAAGGAATTTTTTTATAACAAAGTTCATTAATAATAATAATCAAAAATATAATTATACAAATGCTCAATAGACAGAAAAAAAAGGTTTAATTTCCCAGATAGCCAAAAGTCAGCAGTAGGCTGGCAAGTTGTCAGCATACCTGGCCTGAAAGAGCAGGCAAGATGTGCTGGCAATACCGTAGGCATCTGCGGCCGCATTTGCTAGCAAAATGCAGGTATAAGTTTGTTCAGCATAGCCTGCTACCGTTGTGCCTACATTTCATGCTCGTGCAACGGTGGTGGAATATTACAAGCAAAGTGTAAGCATGGTCTGCGTGCAAAATACGCTGTCATCAAGCAGGCATTTCATGCTAGCATACTGCCCGCAAAATAAAGAAACAGATTGGCTAAAATTTATCTTACTATTTAGGTATATTAATATTCTAAAAAATTATTATAATTTAAAATTCAAATTTTAAGTTTTTTTTATTCTAATTTTAATCGGAATAGGAACATAAAAAAAAATAAATCAAAATTTTTTAATTAAATATTTTTTATTATTTTATAAAAAACTAAACGGATGTTTACTTCACATAATAAATACATAATCATCATAATATAATAAAAAATAATAGAGTATATCATACAATATCAGAAAATAGTAATTTTATAAAATCTTACGCCGTTAGTGTAATTTTATTTTTTTTCTTTGATATTTCAATAGATATTTTCAATACTGCTTTCTTCGACCCTACTTAAATCTTGATTAATTAATTAATAAACTCCACATAAAAATAACTGCGATCAATACTAATTGCTTATATATCCATTCATATTGTTATTATAATTACTTAATTTAATTTGATTTATTTTACAAAACTTTTTAAATTAATTTCTATAGAAAAATTTTTTTAACATTCAATTTCTTCAATTAAAACTAAATGGAAATTGTAATATTTCTTCTAGAATAACATATTTCGCATTATTAATTTACGGCGGGTTGAACTAATTGGAAACAGCGTGAAATAAAAATACAGAACGTTAATACTGACCCGCCGGGCGGGTTCAGCATATAATGGGTATGTTCTAATGCCGGTCTCCAGAAATGAGTAGACCCACAACAGTGTAAAGTGGTGAACCCTAACTCCAGCGTTCCTATATACTGATAACGTAGAAATTTGACATAGATAAAATTTGAAATGTGGAGGTGAATCTGACGGCTGGAGAATTAGGCTGTTTTTCTAAAGTTATGTAGAAACCATCCACGACATCAGCCCATCCAGTCCAAAACGTCATATCGACTCGCTGATTCCAGTCTATGGTAAATGTAAGGACTTTTCCTGTGGCAGCCATTCCTGAAATTGAAAATGACATCCGTTAAAATAAAACTGGTACACGGAAAAAAATAATTGGTAGAGGCTACCGATTTTTTCGGTAGAGATTCTAAAGTTTGACATAAGAGTGAGTATTGAAAAAAATATATTTATATTATTGAGAGAATAACAAAAATTTTGTCTCTAGGATAGTCCTATGATAACATCGGGTTTTTTAGTGAAATTTAGTGTCATTGCAAAGGTCTTGACTTGAATTTGCGCCTTTTCAAGGTTTCATATCATTCTCATCGATAAAAATCGGTAAAAATTGCATAGATTCTACTAAAGTATACCCTAATAGAAACATTCGCTGCTGGTCGATCCTCAACTTCGAACACTGTACATTTACTAGTGTTTTACAAATCGGTAGAATTTAATCAAAATAGTTCGTTAGTTAGAGGCTGTCAGCTAAGGCCTATATGAGTTTAGACCAAATACTTATTTTTTTCTTAAAAGTAGAGAGTCTACTGAAAAAAATGCCGCTAGACAGAAGTCTTTACATTATATAGATGCTGAGATACAAATATTCAAAAATCAGTAAAAAATCGACTTTTTTAAAAATTCAAAAAATTCTCCAGCGGCCGAATTTGATTATATCGGGTCCAAATTTTCAGGATCGTCTTCTTTTAATTTAAGGTGTACTTTTGAGGAAAAAATCGGCATCAAAATTGCTGACCTGAGTGCGCACATTTTAATAATAAATATTGATTTAGAAATGATTTGATGTGAAATATAATAAACATTCATCTTCGCAACTATATAACTCAAAAGCTGTTGGTAGGGGAGGGGGGCGGGGATTTACACAGAGGAACTTTTTGTAGCAAATTTTATGCTCTACAAAAGCTATATAAACGCGTTTTTTCCAAAAAAAATTTTTTCACGTCGAAAAATCAAGAGATTATCCGATATCTGGGAGTGATGCTTGATGCCCGACTCAACTTTAAGCAGCAAGTCGAACACGTGAGTGCAAAAGCATCAGCAGTGGTAGCTAGCTCAGCACGACTGATGCCAAACGTCGGAGGCCCAAAGCAGAGCAGGAGACTACTGCTATCATCTGTAGTCACATCAGTGCTCACTTACGGAATATCTATCTGGGCAGACGCACTAGAAAAGCAAGAATCATGGAGAAGGGCTGGACCAGTCTACCGTCTGAGTGCCTTAAGAGTAGCAAGCGCCTTCCGCACAATATCTATGGAAGCAGTGTGTGTCATTTCCGGAACTTTGCCTCTCGGAATCTTAGCTGAGGAAAGACGGATCCTTTACCAATGAAAGAAGTCGACCACACTAAGCGCTGAGGAGCTTGGAACAGAAGAGCGGCAGAGGAGCATAAGTCGATGGCAACTACAGTGGGATGCCACAGTGAAGGGTAGGTGGACGCATCGTCTCATACCAAGGATCAACGTTTGGCTAAACCGGAGTCACGGTGAGGTCAACTATTATCTTACACAGATGTTATCAGGACACAGCTGTTTCCGGGCGTATCTCCACCGCTTCAAGCATGATAATTCCCCAGAGTGCCCATCCTGCCCAGGAGTCAATGAAGATGCAGAGCACGTTTTCTTTGAGTGCTCACGTTTTTACCCACATCGGGATGAGCTGGAGAATATCCTGAAGAGGAAAATCCAACCAGAGATAATAGTAGCAGTAATGCTGTCATCAGAAGCTGCCTGGAACGCCACAAGCACTTTTGCTACAAAAGAAAGAGAAGGAAGAAATAACATCTTAGCCACCAAAAGGAAGAGCGGCAGCTAATTCCTCCCCCCGCGAAGAAATGCCTTACGGCGGTACCATGGAGGATCAGAGGATAGAAGAGAAAGGGGTGTAGGGTTTAGTGGGTAGGGGCGTCAGCGTCAAGTTTTAGTATGACGCTGCGTCGAGTCGCCACATATCCGGGCCAACATCTATGCCTAGAATCCGTAAAAAGGATTCCCCCCCCCCTAAAGGGAAAAAAAAAAAACACACACCTGCGGCAGAGGAGAAACTGCTACCAGGCGCGTCTCCCCGTAGTGGATGGGTTGGTCACACTAACTGACCTAACAAGACGAGGGTAACGTTGTTCGCGTCCGTAGGTACTGCTTTAACACCCTACACGTGCTCTCCGGGTAG